AAAAAACCCTTTACATACATGCCATAAAAATCAGGTAAGCTAAAATGGAAAAGTATCAGTATACAGTGTTTTAAAAAAAATAGCATTTGAGCTTTAGCTGTCAGGAGGCAGGGTACCGTGTAGCAGAGTTATATCTATAGAGAATGAATTAGTGAATTTTTCAGCTACAGCTTGGAAGTTGCCATTATGTTTGATACAGCTGTATTTCCTGTTTAATTTTCATTGTATTAACATATAGTGTATAAGCCTATTCTGAAAGCCTTGATGCAGGCAAAATTAGGCAGGACTGCCATTTTTGATTCGAAATAATGTGATCCATGTTGCTACCTCCCTATGAATTTTTCATCAGTCTCCTTGTATTAGAGGTTTTCGAGGGTCTAAATTGGGAATCAGACATGCAGAGTGAATAGAGAGTTTACAGGTGAATTTAAAAAAAAAGTCACGTCTTGATTTCAGAGCATTTTATGCCCTTTCTTCACAGGTATTAATGACTAATATAAAAAGGCAAGTTTGGAGTTAAAACTCCTTAGTCTAATATTCACTACAGTTACTTTAAAAAAAAAACAAAAAAAAAAAACACCCTTGTGTGTGTCCAAGCAGCTCTTTTTTGTCCAGAGGAGTCAATTCTCAAAGGAATCTTTGATATTGTCATATATGCAATGTATGGCTAAGTTTTTTGAAGGTTAAAATATTATACATGTTATTACGGTTATTTGGAGGTCTCACTGTGTGCATTGACTAAGTATGTAGTCATTAGAAGTCCATCCTTGGGTCCAAGTCTGCTGTGAAGAAAGAGAAAAACATGAAACTGCGACTCTACACCACCTATTATTGCATCTATATCAATCTGCAAAGGGATATTATATTAAAATAATGCACATGTTTGAATGATAACAGAGAGGACTATAAGCACGTATTAAATCTCCACTTAATTGACCTGAATTAATAGAATCTTGAATAAGTTACATAAATCATCAAAAGCACAAGCAGCTAGAAACAGAGTGTAGTCTGGTATATTTAAAGAATGCATTCTGTTAATCTAATAGATAAACAAGAAGACTGTGTATAGTCTCCATGGAGATTTAATGACTTATTCGTAAGACAAAGTGACTGAAATGCCTCCTTTGATGAAAATGAGGTAGACTTTATAAGAACTCACGACGATAGATTCCGTCCTCAGTAGCCTCCTACTGATACACAACGAAAGAAGAATTTGGATGGTCAGTAGATAAAGGCATGATCAGAATACTGAGCAGGAAGACAGTAAAGAGATTTGAGCATATGTATTTGGTATAAATATTACAGTCTTATAGAGACCTCTAGATCAATATGTACCACACTTCGTTTAGTTACTTGACAAGTGAACAGTATGTATTCCTTGAATGCTGAACAGAATTTTCTGTTTATTACCTTTGATTTATTATGACAGATTGGCGTGTTTTTTTCAAATTCTTTATGCTTATTCCAATAAAATCAATATAATTTCTTTCAAAATAAACAAGCAAAAGATTTGCCTTTGGTATTATCTCCTCTGGAGGAAGAACCATGTAAAGATACGTTTTGAAGAATCCTGTTCACAGTGGATCTGTTTTCATTTACAGTGCATCTACATGGATTAAATATATGTTCTCAATTATGTCATGTCAGAATTCTGGCTATTTTAGCTTTTGCTTATTTATTTTTTTAATTCCTGAAACTGTTTGACTTTATGGTGGCTAGGGACCTATTATCAGTATTTTTGCTTACTTGATAAAGAGCCAGTGCCTCTTTAGAAGATGTATCACTTGATACTTGAGTGAAAAAAAGTTTAGGTACTGCTGAGAATTTCACCAATGTAGGAATATTTCCTCAGATAACTGCACTAGTTTTCATATTTTGTCCCTGTAATTTTGAGACTGATAAGTGGATGTGAGAGAGGATTGTTCAGTCTGTCTGTGTGGTTTGATAGATTATGGCTCCAGATAAAGCTTTGAATTCTCTGTAAAAGGATCCTTTCGGGAAGATCAGTCTTGTGTGGTAAGGATTTTGGCACTGGTATATTAAACCAGTTTCACCTCTGATACAGTACCACTGAGAGCTGTAACTTTACTAAAACCTTTGTTCTCCTGAATACCTATCAGCAATAAAAATGTCCACTTCCCTGATATTCAGTGCTGTAAAGGAATGTCTAAATTTCATTTTTTTAAATAAAAAAATTTGGAGTATCATACTAATTCAGGCTGATACTATATTACTTCTGAAGTTTTTCTAAAGAAAAGCTTAGTGCTGAGCTTAGACATTTCTACTGACCCAAAATTATTAGTACAGTATTTTACTGCAAGCCAACCGTAGCTGAAAGGAGAAGATATCCAATATGTTGGCTTTACTTTAAATTCTTAGTGCGTGGAAAAAATGGGTGGTGCATGGGAAGGGAATGATTATTGGAACAAGCAGAGGAAGTTATAAATCTTTAGATCATATACAGGACAGATTGGAACAATATAAGCTCTCCAAGTTTTCTAAGATAATGTATCTAATAACTCTCTTTAGGCAAGTAGGAAATCTGTTTTCAGTTTCTCCCACTTCTAAGCAAAAATATAATTTACATTAAAAGAATATTTTGGGGGATTCTCAACCAAAAATTAATGGGAGTTTCTCATTAGAAAATACTAGTTGAAAAACAGGAGGTTTTTGTCGCAATCACTGCTCTGAGCACTGTATTTTACTATGTAAGAATAGTAAAGATGTGAAGAATAGATAATGTCCATCCCAGAACCAGAGTGCTAAAGTGAAAACATGATGCAGATGCCTTCTGACACTTCCAGAAGACTCAGTCCTTATGCTCAAATATGGAAGAACTTGACAGCCAAATATTTTTCTTTTCAGCAGAACACATCGGTATGAAACCCTATTGAATGAAAGTGGTAGCAGGGTTGAATAGTTATACTAAATGCATCTGCTTTGAGCATGAGGTGTTTGGACTAGATGACTTCCGGAGGTCTCTTCCATCCTGAATTATCCCATAATCCTGTGATCCAATGAAAATTTCTACTGCAGTGGAATAACTTGGGTTATGGGTTGCAACCTCTATCTGGCTTACAGTTCTGCTCTAAGTTTGCATATATTTTATAAAATGTGGATTCTTACTAATGACTGGAAAAAGCCTAATGAGTTGAAATTTTCCAGGAGGGATGTAACTTTTCTGCACAGCAATGCAGCATACCACAGCGACATTCAAGCAAAGACTCTGCTAAATCTAACATCAAAAGAACTGTACAAAATGTTTGTTTACAAGCAGAAAGATTGTCGTTGTTAAAAATAATCAGCTAAAGAGATAGAAAGTTCAATTCTTAATTACAAACTATATGGCAGAGGCTTGGTGCTGCCACTGAATGACAATACAAACGGAGAGTTCAAGATGATCATATTCCTAAACACAGCTTTAAAACTCTGTACTATACTATTTATAAAAGTGGCAATACTAGAAGCATAATCAGATTTGCTGGACTGGTGTCAGATTTTACTGTGTTTTGCTTTCCAAGCAGCCACCTGAACCACTGCAAAAATAACAGTACATTATGGTGATATTATTAACTGCATGATGCATATTACTAATTTATTCTTTGTTCTGCACCATTACCCCTTTACCAGTGTATTCTCTGCATTTTTCTCACATAGTTAGTCAAGCATCAAATTATGAAGCAAGAACATACTCCTATAGTAGCCCCTAATGGAACCTTACATAAGCAATTATTGCTGCCACCTATTATTTGTTGCTTCCTGCAGTGAGGTTTCTGCAGTACTGGATTGTCCACAGAACAATTATGAAGTAGGTGAGACTTGGACAGCGTAATTTTTACCCTTGAAATTAATTTGCTTCATATTTGGCTACTCAAGTGCTGAACAAGTTTGCAAAATTGTTTCTTCATAACATTTGTGCATTGTAACTGTAATGAAGTTGACTTTCTGTTAGTTCAGGAATTGCATCTATACCACCTTGTCTGTCCTCCTGATGGCTGCAAGTAGCATGGTAATTGGAAATGTTAGCAATAGGTATATTGTCAAAATCACCATCTGTCATAAACTGATGACAGTAATGGAAACTGTGGTTGAGTTTATTCCATGAAGAAGATTACGAGACAGGGTAGGGTATTTTGATAACAAATTCTTAGACTTTGCTTTACAATAATAAAGGAACAATGATTCATTAAGTCAGGAAGAATGCAGTTTCCCAGACCTTTTCCTCAGCCTCTAAGAATTGAAATTGTAGAATTCAAGAGGTATATGTAGGTATTTATTCTGCTTCTGCGTTAGACGGTTGGATTCTTCTATTGACCATTAATGGAAAGATGGAGCAGAAGGAACCTGTGCAATGTCACTGTCTGTGTCACCAAACTTGGATTCTCTAGGCAATCCATTGCAATGGGGCATTAAAGAATGATTTCTTACTGGAAGGAATGCTCACTATAGGTGCTGCAGTAGGAAAAACAGATTTCTCTTTTACTGCTTATGGGCTATAAAGCAGCAAACTTTGTGCTGTCTTCGCTGGCATTACTATCCGCTTTTAACCATGGAAAAATGTGGAATAATTTCAGGGGGATTTGTTGTTTTGTTATGTGATAAGCAGCATGTCATAAACAAAAATGTAAACAGTAAATCTTGGTAGATGAGCCAGAGATATGGAGCAAGATATGTAAAACAGAAAAATGACTTTGAAAGGGACTGGTTAATATCGCGTATAAACATATATATAAATGATGCCTCTTACTGTTAAATATATGATACTACTTGGCTGAATGGTTTGTTTATAATAGTCTTTGCAGGTGAGAGTGTAAATATATTTTTAGTTGCAAAGCACCTTTTGGAATTGATGCATTCCTTTTCTGATTTGAAATAGGTGCTAGAGAAACATCGAGAAGAGACTAATACTCTTTTTTGGACAATAAATTATCATTTCCGTCTTTGCTTTCTAGCTTATTTGTTTTACTTTTGCAAGATTAACTCTGATTTTTCTGTAACAGGCACATAGTTGTCTGTGGCCACATAACACTTGAAAGCGTGTCCAACTTCCTGAAGGACTTCTTGCATAAGGATAGGGATGATGTGAACGTAGAAATCGTCTTTCTGCATAAGTGAGTAATCTTTCAAGATTCATTTTTTCATATGTTACTAAAACCCTTTGAATTAAGCATTTTTTTGGGAGGGTGGAGATAGAGGATCTTTCAACCTCTAAAAAGCTGTAAGATTCATATATGCAATTACTTTTGTTAACAAAGTAAAATTAATGTTTTCTTTGAAAAATGAGTTGTTTTCTGCGATGGTTTTACAAACCATTAAGTCAACAAGTATGTGTAATTCAAGGTAACAGACTTCAGATCCAATTATGCCAATTATGATACGGATAGCTAAGCAAATTTTTGGATGGACTTATGTAATAACAGCTATTAAAATATTAATAAATAAATGTGAGAGTTTAGTGGCAAATATTTCCAGTGAAACTAGCAAAATTAGTGAAATGAGCAAAATTAATGAAAAATATTGTATGCCGTGAACTTTATGCTCTTTGAAAACACTTTTTTGCTTTTGATTTCACTAAGAAAAATGTTAGTTTCAGATTGAAAAATATTTACAAAAGAAAAATGTAGGTACAGATATAGTTTTAAATTAAATGAGCTAGAATCTAATTATAGATATAGTGAAGACACAAAACAAATTCCACTGTGATAATTAGCACTGTTATTTTACCCATATATACATACATCCACACACAGTCTCTTGCACCTTCTTCATGTGGGATTTTGGGAAGATTTCTTTGCCTTTAATCCATTTTAAACATACTGAAATTAAAGTCAAACATATTTAGCAGGAGCATTACAAAAAAGACAACTACTGGGTGAAATATCTGAATGAACCGTCTCATTCTACTAAATTTTTGCAGTTATGCCAAAGTTCAGGGATTTATTGCTTTATATATACTATTACCAAAAAAAGCAATGTTATAAACGAAATAAAATGTTGGAGCACAAAGCTAGAGATACTACAAACAATGAATAAAAAAAAAAGAACAATGAATGGAAAAAAACAATGAATGAAAGAAAATGAATGGCAACTTATTTTTGAAAAATGAATTACCTGATAATAGGTGTGACAATATTTGAGTCAGACTTTTCCTGGTAGTCAGTGACTAGTTGAGGCTCAGTTTTAGTCATTAACTTAACCCTTTCCAACAGTCATATTGCTGTAAGGTGGTTGCTGTTTGTTGCTGGTTCTTCCTTGCACGTAATTCAACATCAAATTGGCATACCCATGAAGAAGCTGTTAGAAATAGCCATGTGCTTGAAAGAGATGGACTATGAAGGATCTTTTGTGATCTGGAACAGCATGCATTTAGAAGTGCTGCAAGCAGTGCAGGGTCCTTAGGGAGTTTCGTTTTGGCTTTTAACCTATTTTAGTGATTTAGCATTGAACTTTGTCATTTGATGCAACCATATGAGAATGGTGGGTATGTGCAGGGTATGTTTGTCTGAGTAGACAGGAGTACTTTTCTGTGGAGAATGCTGTGCAAGGATGTTGTTTTCAAACGTTTACACAAATTTTTCTGAACTCATGCCTGTGTGAAGGTGACAAATGATGCATGTGCAGAACAGAGCGATTAAGTGGGCTAGACATGCTGTAGATAGAAATAAGGAAGCAAAAGCAGTTTAGTGTGTCTTTTAAGTACTGCCTGATGTTTTCGCACCATAGGAAAAGCATCAGCAACATCTGAATACTTTAAATAAGTAAATAAATGGGTCATCAATAAATGAGAGAAATAGTATGGTTGATTCTGGAAACTGACTTCTTGTTCACTCTTGCTTTGTTTTCTTTCTCTTCCGAATGCAGTATCTCCCCGAACCTTGAGCTGGAAGCTCTTTTTAAACGACACTTCACTCAGGTGGAATTTTATCAGGGTTCAGTCCTTAATCCCCATGACCTGGCAAGAGTAAAGGTAACAGCTTTTTTCTGTCTCCTGCTGATTGTCTTTCTTAAAATACTCATTTTATTTGGAGAAAACAGAAAAGCTCTTCTTCAGGCGATCCAAATAGATTGTTCTTCCATCTCTATTAGCTGGCCTAATAAAGTGTATTATCTGACCTTATAAGCCTTGTTTTCCTTATATCTTTAGACTTTCAAAACTAGTGTAACACTGCAACCAAAGACACATTGTCTGCCCTTGTACTGAAGTCTTTATGAATTTTTCAGTGAGATTTAATTCAGGAGTCTATTTAACATTAAGGTTTGATATAACAGAACATTGTCTTACTGTAATTACTTAAAATGCTATTGTCTGACCTTTGTGAGAATGATTAGAAAATAATTTTTTACCTGTCAAACCCTTGTCCTGTTGTCTAGAAAAGAAGAAAATACAATTTGAGATAGTTGGTAGCTAGAATGAGATTTTTTTATTGTCTCAAATTCTCTATGGTAAATAATTTTTGTACTCTTAAAAAGCAGGAAATTTAAAGGAAATAAGAGATGGCAAGCTGTCACATATGCAGCATCCCTCCTCCCTTCCACCTCTCCTTTTTTTAATGAAACATGAACGAGCCGTTTAAGCCAATGAGATTTAGTGCAATGTTAACACTTCCTGGAGCAGAAATCCTGTCTTCTGCTCATTCTGGCTGCCAATTTTCTTAACCTTTTGTAGCACAACACGCACTGTTTCAGTTCAGCAGAACAAAATGTTCTTCTCATTATGATCCTAAAACTGCATGTTGATGTTTTGTGTTCTTCTCTATTCCATCCTTTTTTGTGTTGGTATTTGGTCATGTACACTGAAAAATATTTTTGTCATCTGCTTTGAGTTAACTAGGTCTAAGGCTTGTGTATTGGAAGGTCCTGTAAACAGATTAACTCTCCTCCTCATGCTTTCCAAAAAGTGGTGCTCAGATTCTAAATCATCAGTGCAGCCATCTCTTTTAGTCTCTAGTATGTTAGTTGTTTCCCAAACAAAAGTACAGGACTTCTGTAAGCACTGTGCTGGTGTATCAGGGTTTTCAATTTCAGTATCCAGTTACAAAAGTTATGTTCATTAACGCCTTCATGCCTCACCCTATACAAAGCAGTAGTTAATGACCGAGAGTATGAGCACTGTGAGCAAGACCTGAGAAGCTGCTATGTCTATATGAGAGTCACCCACATTACCTGCAAGGTCTTGTAACGTTTCTGCTCAGCAACATTGCAAACTAACATTCACATTCATGACGGAAGTGTTGGATTCCCTTATAGCTTATTGATGAAAGAAGGTATAGAAGCAAAGGTTGCTATTTATGTTTGCTTTTTCTTTGGTGTCTCAGATAGAGTCAGCAGATGCGTGCCTAATCCTTGCCAATAAATACTGCGCTGACCCAGATGCTGAAGATGCCTCCAACATTATGAGGTAAACTCATTAGTTTTTGAATCAGTTTTTGTTCTTAATTCTGTTTAGCTAACTTCTGGTGTCTAGATAGGCCATAGCCATACACAGCTTTATATTTCATAATCTGTTGCACTTGACTATTTCCACAATTATTTTGGAGGGGTTATTACAAAGCTGTCTCAAAAGTTCAGGGATGAGGATACCTTGAATTCCTGGATAAACTACTTTAATCTAACTGCTTTTGAAATAGTGTGAGAGAAAATGATGAAAAGAGGAAGGAGTGGCCCAAGAATCAACTTCGAAATTAATGCATTTCAGTTGTGGCCTGGTATACAGGCTTTTTTCCTTCATTTGCAGTATCCTTCCTTCATCAGATATATGGATTGCTCTTCTTTCAAAGTTGTACTGTAATAGCATAAACTACAAAAATTTATGCATTTCTATCTGGTAAGCGGATGATTTGATTTCTCCTTTTCAGAACTTGACTTTAGAACTCCATTTACATAGAGTAGGGGAGTCCTTCTAAAAATTCGTTCTTTCAAAAGAGACGTGAGCCTTTCCCGTTTCATTGTTAGAACAGCTGACAGACCAAGTTAACGACAGACGTGCTCCAAGAGCACCCAGAGCAGATTCTTACTGCCTGACTAGTGTTGTGTTCCTATCATGTAGTAATTTGTTAGTGTTCTCCAAGCCCACAGATAGGCATGGTCTTTTGGATCTTGGTTGCTCACTGTGCTAGTTTACTTAATAATGCATTTTTTTTTAAGACATCAGGAAGAGGATGATGTGGTCACAAAAAAACACAGGCTTTGGCACTCTCAATCATTCTGCCAGCCCTAGGGTTGAAGTATGCATAACTGGACTCAATCCCAGTAGAAATAAGGGGAAAAGAAGTGCAGTTATGTTGCTGCAACAATATGTTGTGTTGGGCTGATGTTAACAATGGAACTGAAGGCCCCTTAATCACCTCATACCTCACTGCTCCTCAGTAAATCTGCTCCTGCAAGTAATTATGCTGCTTGAGGGAAGGTAAGGCAAACACTACTTATCTGCATGTATTTCATGATGGTAAAGATCCTTTGGTCTCCTAGCTCCATCCTCCTTTTTTACACTGAAGACCAAAAATTGCTTATGTTGGTTGACAAGGCACATACCACCTTAGGGAACACAAGATCTTGTCCTTGCTTTCTTCCTTATGTCCTCTGAAGGAAGGAGAGGAAAGGGTAAGTTGAAAGATGGTAAATACAGAGTTACAGTGAAGCTGAGTTGTTCCATTTTTTGTGTTCTGTTCATACAACCTTAGTTTTAATAAGATCAGTCTGCCCTTTTGAAAATTAAAATGTCAAAGATCTGTTAAAAATTCACTAACACTGTATTGGCCAACTGTTATGAACCAATTTTATTAGCCTGTCAGATGTTTGCATTTTGTGAATTGAAGGTACAAGTGGAATAAAAAAAAATAAGTAAAATCACTTCTCTGGAAAAAGTTCAGTGTACGCAAGAGCTCTGGGGGCCTGCGGAAGGTGCAAGGCTGAAATATGCCTAATGCATTTTCCAAACACACTTTTGGGATTCAATGCAAGAAACTTTATTTTGACTTTAATTGCATGAATACATTAAAAGTGTTCCAGTTGCAGATTAGTGTGCTCTTAATAGATTCAATATGTTTAATGTAATAAAACGTGTTTAAATGTGAACTCACATTTAAATGAATTTGATGGAACAAAATTAAATATTTAATTAAATAATTCAATAAGGAATGGAAAATTAGTAGGAAGAGAAGCTCCATGTTTTCTCCATCCAGAAGATAACATAAATTAAAACAGTGCATGCAACTTTCCATATCAGCTTCATGCTCTAACCTTTGCTGTGCTTGGAAGTGCAAGACAGGCAGGCCAGCAGTCTGCAAGATACTTCCTACAGAACACTACTGTAAAAAATTGTGACACTTAGTCTGATGAGAGTGGTGATTCCATAACTCAGATTTTTCTTTTCCTTTTGACTGTTTTCTCTTCTTTTTCTTTCTTTAGTTTGTAAATACAGAACTGAATTGTTGACCTGTTTCTCTCAATCTTTAATTTTGCTCTATGCTTTTTTCATTTTTAAATTAGGTATTCCTCTCTGCATAACATATGCTATCAAGCCACTCATTTTTAAAACATGTTTCTTTCTAGTCACTTTTAATCTCTACACAGCTGAATCTCTCTTAGCCTCATTAAATAATAAAGAATACAGACAAATCACAGATTGCATAATTAGCTCTGTACTTTTTAAATTCGGAGTTCAGATACCAGTTTGGATATTGAGCTTTGGAGTAATCCATAAAAATGAAGATGAGTTTATGTGTGGATTTCTGTCAAATAAATTATTTAAGGTGTTTAAATATGACAAATACCCGGCAACGATAAATAAATAATATATAATGAGGAAAAAAAGAAAAGGATTTTTTTCACATATTTATCATTGGAAAATTGATCAGTTACATTGATTCAAAGGAACAAGGATAATCACTGAAGACACAAGGATAATTGCTAGTGTATTATTTGCTTAACAGAGGATTAAAGAGGATTCAGTCCAGTCATTGAACTGAATAATTCCTGAAGTTTGGTGTTCTCTAGTATTAGTCAATTGTTATTAACTGAATTTGACTAGATATAAAATTTGCATAGGTCTGTCTTCAGTCAGTATATTTCACAGCCAGATGAATAGAACAGTTTTAACTGTGGGACTTGACAATACAGCCAAATAGAGGTACTATGATATAATATACAAATATTCGCTAGCTAAAATGTTATTTTGACTGGTTTTTTTATTTTATTTCTAGAGTCATTTCCATAAAGAATTATCATCCGAAGATAAGAATTATCACTCAGATGTTGCAGTATCACAATAAGGTAATGTGAAGACTGACAGGGTCTCTCCCTCAGACCTTTCTCCTACATTGCAATCACTGATGCACGTTTTTTTTTTTAGATCTACTAATGCAAAGTATTTTTCTTTCCAAACAGAAACAGCCTTATAAGTCTTGTCGTGTAATCCAGTTGCAAGATAATTCAGTTGTATTTATATATGCAAGGGACCGTATCAAAATCTTGTGGCATTTATTAACCACCTGGGTTCTAATTCTCAAAGCTGCAGAGTATCCACAGTTCCTATTGATTCCAGATGAACTTTTAGCTACTCAGCTTCTGTAACTTTTGCCCAGCTTAGTTCACTAGAGCTATCCAGGATGAATTTGTGGCCTCTTAGGCAGGTCATCTGAAGCCAGTTTTTTGCGGATACTTGAAAAAATGCATAGAGTTATTGCTTTATTGGTGATTGACAGAAATGCATGAAAATTTAGACCTGAAATTACCAGGCAGCAATACAAAATAAATTGAGTTCTTTTTTCACATGAAACATATTTCAGTTGGGGAATTTGTTGCTACAAAATATTGTTGGGGTCAAAATTATGAATCCACTTTGAAAAGGAATTGGGCAAATTTGTGACTGTTAAATCTGGGGCCATTAAACGCAATGAAGTCAATGCATTCAATCCTTTAGAGGAGGAATTCCATAAACTGCTGATTAACAGAACGAGGGAGGATATGTCAGAGGACAGATTTCTCATATATAATCTACTTCTTGTATTGTTTCTAAAAGTATCAACTACTGCCCAGTGTTAGAGCAAAGGGTTGGCTGGGTAGACCTTCATTAAATGAGGTATGATAACCTAGCTTCAGAAGGTTTTAACTGCTAACAGCTCCTTGCACCTGTAACTTCTGACTAGAACAAGAGCAATTACTGGTGCTTGTGATGTCCTCTTTCTGTATGTAAATGGAGTAGTTTATGTTTTTACAGAATAAAAGCAAAGTTTACGTGCTTTAAACAGTGGCGGGGGAAAAGATCTTTTAAATATGTCATTTTTTTCTTTAATGAAATGTAATTTCAAGAACCAATAATTTTCAAAGAGCTAAACAGTGATATTAACCTGCAAAGAGAAACAAGGGCATGAAGACTTCTATTTGCTTCTGTGTGTGCATTTGTACAAGGTTGATGAAAGAATCCAAGAGAGTTATGCCAATAACTGAAAAATATTAATACCTAATGAACTGAACAATTTAGATACTGGAACACTATTTTGAATAGCTGTTTTTCTTTGTGCTATCCTTAAAATAACAGTCTGAGGAAAGAGTTTAGATTTTTCAGTAAGTCAAGTGTTTTTCCTTCAGGGTGGAAGGAATGAAGAAAAACCCCACAGATATTATATGCCTTAATATATGACAGTGTCTTATATAGATTGCAGCTTCACATGAGTTGCAATCTAAGTTATATTAGGTTTCTTGTATTATCCATGTACCTTATCCATCAGAGAGTAGTTCAAACTGCTGTAAAAGTAATATGTTAAAGAAAACTTTATAACATTCTGTGGTTCATTCAGGTGTGATGGTGGACCAAGCAGAGTGTCACAGCCAGCTCTATGCAGCTGGAATATGGCTTGAGAAATGTGAGGTTTTATCTAAAATAGGTAAGACTGGAACAATTTTCAACATAGAATTATATTAAATATTTGGGATGCTTTTGCCTACTCAGAAAAAGTCAAGCCAATAACAAAAAAAAAAAAAATCACTGCTATCTCCTTGAATACTGTATACTGTATTTACAGAAGGTCTTCACCTGTGGGTTTTTTTTTTTTTTTTCAGGCCCATCTGCTAAATATCCCAAGCTGGAATTGGAAAGAAGGAGATGATGCAATTTGTCTTGCTGAGCTCAAGCTGGGTTTCATAGCTCAGAGCTGCTTGGCACCAGGCCTTTCAACAATGTTAGCCAACCTCTTCTCTATGAGGTCATTCATAAAGGTAATGTCTTGTCTCATTAGAAAGTATTAGTCCACAATTCAATTTGTCAGAGGATTGAATAGAGAGCATGGCTCAAATGTGAAACAGATAGGAACACGTTAACAGCTTTCTTAAGATAAAAAAACAGCGCACACTTGCACACAAAGTTCTCTGCTACAAACTGGGCAGTGAGCCAGGTTCTGTCAAAACTGTGTTGTTGTTTTTGTTTGGCAAGTGCTTGGCCGTTAAATGATTGTTCAAAGCACCATTCATTTCGAGGGGGATTTTTCTGGTGTTTTGTTTTGTTTTAGACAAACCACATGTTTATCAATCAGTAAAGCCCCGCTGTTAAAACAAAGAAATAATTTATATGTATCCCATATGGCAACAAAGTGCCCAGGAGGAAAAAAAAAATAATTTTACTCTTTTACATCAAGTGGCTAGTGGGCTTCTGACTGCGAATAAATAAGGACCATGTGTTTGAACTGAAGCCTAAACTTCCTTATAGCATCATTCATGCATTTGTTTCTCCTCAGTCAAAGAACTCTTTTTGGGCTTACGTGGCAAAATTGTAATCCAGTTTTTCCTAGACTTCTATGGCAACTGTACTAGTTCAATGGACCAAGGCCTTAACTGCAGCAATTGGTGCTTCCTTCGTCATTATTTTTGGGACAGTGATTCCAAACCTAAAGGAGGTTCATTTTCCAGTCTCATGAGTGTTATTGGGGGACAGAAAGCACTGGAATATGAAGTAGGCCATGGTGCACTTCAAGTTCATTGCGGAAGTAGGCAAAAAAAAAAAAAAGCTTAATGTCACTGGTTGAGAAAGACAGGACTGTGCCCATAGAGGTGCGCATATCATTGAAGGGCAGCGAGTCTTTATTTACTTCTTATAAAGTAAGTCCTGGGGGTCTTAATTCCCCAAAGATTTGGAGACCACAGACTCCTGTGTGCCAAAAATATCCTTGACTACCATATATAGACAAAAAATGCATGTTTTAAATATAGAATCTAGGCCGGGCTCTTCACTTCAATGTCTGCATTTAGGCTGTTTGCATCTTTTTTCATTTCTGAAAAAAAAAACTATTTTATTTTAGTAAAGCCAAACTTGGGAACTATGAGTGATTGATCAGCATATGCTCACTTTTGTGTTAATCCTCTCTACTTATATCTCAAAAGAAAACTGTATCTCTTGTGACCTTCATTCTTCTTGAAGGTCATTTTGATTTCCCTCCTTTTACCCTTATATGGTGATGTGACATTCTCAGGGGTCTCAGACATTTGTAACAGTCACACTAATGTATCCAAATGACTGAAGCAACCTTTTCTATGAACTCACTCTTGACCTCAGAAGTAGGCCTGAAACTTCGTCTTCTGTCTTTCCATAATCAGAAGTGGTCATTTTTCTCTCAGGAAGATACACTTATATTAGATCTTAATGCAAGTTATTGTAATAGTGAATGTAAAATTTCAGTGAGAAATTTGAGAGATTCAAAAATGAAAGTGTACAAATGCAGGACTTTGAGGGCACCATACCAGAGAGAGACCTATTTATGGCCTGGAACACGTAGTTAAGTTGATTAGACAAAGGTAGTATCTTTCTAGAAAGCCTATCTAAAGGTTCTGACCACTCTATGCCTTTATCTTGTCTGTCTTCAAATCCATGTTTTCTATACTTTCATTTTATAAGGTAAGTAACTGTTAATGTAATATTTTTACTAAAGTGAAGGATGGGACTAAATCACTGACTGATGAACAGTTTTAAGCTGCAGGCTCAGCTTTACAAGGCCCTTTACCCCTTCACTAAGGTGGAAAGCATTCTGATCTCCTATGGAATCCAAATGGGCTTGAAATATTATGCGGTTTATTGATTCCACGTGCATTTTTCTGTCTATATAGAACAAACATAAGACTAGCAGTGAATCTGATTTAGAAGACGGTGTCAGTGTCAGTTTTTCTCTCCTATCTGTGATCATATATGTGATGTTTTTCAGAATAGGATGAGTGTACACCATAACTTGTGTTACTTCAAGTGCCATCTTCATGTGGCACTGAAAAACATAGACACTGCATTTTGAGAATACAAGACTGCTAGTATCCATTAAAAAATGTATCTGCTATCTTACTGAGAAGGGATTGTCCAGATGAGTAAAATAGATGTCATCATTTCCAAGGAACTAATAATTCCGAGTATGTTAAAATCTAAAGCAAAATAAACATACAAGAATTAAGGCATGTTTCTTGTCATGAAAATCCAACTCCATTGGTGACAGCAAGAGGTTTATTTCTTTAACTGAAATGTTGTCCTTTCTCCAAGCTAGAGTTAGAAATCTATTTGAAAGAGAAAGCTATTAAAAGGTGGTGGTTGTGAACCAACAGTATATTTAGTAGGAGAGCAGCTATGACTGCACTGCATTGATTGGAGTTGTTAAGGAGGACTGTCGAAAAGAAAGATGTGCTTTCACCAAGAGAAGTTTCATCTCTTTTCATTAGAGTGCTGAATTTAAGTACTGTTGGACTTTCATAAATTTCTTAGGCAACCATTATTAGTGGAGTCTCATATACAAGTTAGATTGCCAGGAAAACTTACGAAACTTATATTTTTTTGTTTGTTTTTGGTTTTTAAAGCTGAAATGGGTATTTGTTCCTCCTCCTTCCTAACATGATTAGAAAGTCATTTAATCTTCCATAATGTTTGGTAAATCAAACACAAACGAACATGATTGATGGTGACACTGCACACATTTAACTCATTATGTGTTACTTTACATCAAAATGATTTGTGTAAACTCTCTACGCAGTATTAAAGGTAAAACAAACTAAGAAACCTCAAAATACTATATTTGTGTCTAATATTTTCCTTTTGGTTTTAGAGATGTAATCATACAGAATCTTTTATATTGCTTTTGCACTAAATTGAATAAAAAGAAAAACAGCTCAAAAGGTTGTGTAACATACCATTGTAAGAACACAAAAAGTGTTCTGTAAACACTTAAAGGAAGAAGGAAAGATTGTACAATATAATGATGTGTTAAGGAAAAACCTCCACACCTTGAACATATTTAATTGGCTATTGTTTTTATAGCACAGAATGTTGTCAATGTTGTATTAGTAAAGGAACTGGGACTCTTTATTACTTGCATAGTCTCAGCACAGGATTGAAGTACCATACTGTAGTGTAATTTTTTGTGTTGTTTAGATTTGCAAATGTATAGCAGAACTCTATCCATATGAAAAACACTACAAAGAGTAAGTAAAGATATAGCCAGATTTGCAACTGTGTACAACCATGCAGTCCAGCATAAGTTAGTTTTGATACATAAATTAATAAAATTCAGAATGTGGTCCTTGAGTGTCACAAAAGTCCCCAAAACAAGTTAGCTTTGTGTTTGCTCTGTTGGTAAGACAGTAGGCATCATTCCAGAGCTGAAAAATGATCTAGAGCAGTCTCAGTTCTTCTCTAAGCTATTTTGAGAGTAGGAATGTTCTTTGGGCTGTATGTACTCATTGCCCATTTCTTCCACTACATTGCTTCTTAGACCAGGCTGAGAGAGGCATAATACAGGCACACACATTTACACCAGCCAGGTACTTAAATATAATCATGGAACACATTAGATGACTTTGTGTTTGTTTTTGACCACCCAGGCAGCGTTGACCTATCTTGAAGTATGAGACTAGGTTTTTTTCAGCGAATTTCTTCAAATGAAAGAGAAATGGAAAAAGTGGAAAAAACATTGGCAGCATCTCAATTTGCAGCGAAATCTTTTAAGACACAGCATAATAAACAGAATACCTGATACTTAACATTTTTCTTACTGTGCCAGTTTCTCCCCACAGGCCTTAGACCACAAATTAACATAGCTTGCTTCCAAAGATGATGTTTTCTCTAAAAAGGTCTACATAAATTTAATCTTGCTAATCATGGAGTCTAGCTATTAAAACCTGGTGTGGTTGAAAACTGTGTACTAATTACAAATCAAGTGTCACTCCTTGTGAGCCGGAGTCATACATTTGTCTTGGCCTGAAGTCTACAGCAGAGTGTATTTTTCAGCCTGTCATTTAAATAGATTAACACGAATCTACCTTTTTCATTATGATTGGTAAGGAATACTGCCCTGTTTCGTAAACTTGAGAGTTAATTACTAAAAAAAGAACCTGTATACCTTTGAGTCTGTACCCATCAAGGACAATATCTCAAGAAAAACTGGGTCTCACAATATTTCGAAAATACTAGTTCTGTTATTTGACTTACTACAAGACTGTACATTAGCATGTACCATGAAAAAGCACATCTAATCTCAGAAATCAGAGCTAATCTTAATTAACATATTTGATATTTCATCACATTCTCTTTTTATATCAATTTTGAAAAAGATTCTTGCATACAGAAAGAACTGTGGAAATAGCTGGCTCAGATTGTAGGATTTTTATACTACTAAGGATACTTGTTTGCTTTGGTTTAAGGAGACAATGCTGTTGAGTGAAAAGGTAGTTGATAATTTTTAATACTTAAGGAAATTCAATTATAAGACTGTAAATCTAAGAAGCTTCACATTTGCTAGGAATGAATTGCTTTTAGCTAATTACTTACTGTCAGATTTCAATATCGTTGTCTAAAGGTATAATAAAACTAGACACCCACACAAGCAATTTGGGTAGACTAAAAGGATGTTATGGAAGGAAATGTTTAAGATACATTGAACTACTTCTTTTCAGCTATTAGTCAAGAATATAGTTAAAGTGGAATGGATTGTTCTGAGATTTCCTAGCATAGCTGGACTGATTTTGTTTTGTTTTCAGTGTCCTTACACAAAGATGGATGTTCCACTTGTACTTCCTCCTTCTTGTACGCAGATACAATTAGGAAAGAACAATGCTAAGGAAGAGGAGAAGAGAACTGTAAAATTACACATCAGGAGGCCCTGGAAGCTTTCTGAGCTTAGATGGAAGCAGGAGTCCCTGTCTTAGATAGAAGCTAGAAAAAAAAGATTCCATCATGCTCCACAATGAGGCAGTGA